AATATTGGTAAGTAATAAAAATTATATAAAATTACAAAACTATTATTATTATTATTACAATTTAAAGTTAAATTTAAAAAAAAAAATACGTTTTCGTATGATTATCATTATTATAATTATTATTTTTCTTGTAGGGGAAAGCCGCTTGGCAAGATAGAGAATTATTTCACGAATTAGATAGGAGAAAATCGATTTGTATTCCAAGTGAAATTCACACAACATCAAAAGTTAAACAAAAAGAAGCTCATAGAAGATGGGTTAGAAAAAATAGGGTAAGATATAAACAAATATATCGAAAATTTATAAAAACTCAATAAAAACTCGTATGAATTTTCCAATATCTCCGTGAAAACTCAATTTTCTTTTTTTTTTTTAAATTTTCCTCTTACACTTTTGGTAAACACGCAAACTATTTACAAATTTATTCGTTTTAACGCCTTTTCTTTTTTTTTTTTAATCCTTTGCCCTTTTAATTCTTCCACATTGAGCCAAAGATTTTCAACGTCAAAAAAAAAAAAAAAAATTTCAAATTTAACCCCCCGAAAAAAAAGAGAAAAAGTTTCGTTTTTTTTTTTCATTTGACCTAAATAATTAATTTATTGTTGAAAAAGGTTATTGTTAAATTTTATTCAGGTCACGTGACTATTGTAAAGAGAAAAAAAACAATAGTTATTATTATTATTATTGGTTGCTTGCTTGCTTGCTTGCCTAACGAATTTCGATTTTTCCGACCCCCGTGATTAATGATAATATCGTGATCGTGAATGATTTATTTATTATATATTTTTTTTTTCTTTTTTTTTCCGGGGGGGTGTGGGTGATTTTCTCATCAGATTCAAGATCTTTCACTCGACGACAGAAATTCCGATGAAGATGATATATTATACGGAGTTCAAAACAGTGCTGCCAATCTTCTTTTATACGTGGGTTTAGGAACGATGTGCGTCGGAATGATAATCGCGTTCGTCGGTACCGGCGAAAAAGGTTTTAAAACGATGGAATTAAGACTGATCGGTCCTTCCCTGATAGGAGCTGGAATATTGATAATAATATTAAGGATAATGCTCTGCGTTTGTCCGTCTAAATGTTTTCATTTAAAAAAACGAAAGCAAAAATTTAAAAATTCTACGAATAAGTTAAACAGCGAAACGGTAAATCGTAGCAGTCAAAGTTTTTCAATATCGAAAGAACACGTGGACGAAGAATCGGGTATCGAAAGGATAAAAACGACGAATAAAACGAATAAAAAACGCGTTTCCATTGCAATGCTTCCAACTACTTCCGGTTTAAGTACAAATTCGCAAATTTCTCATAAATCGCAATATCAAAAATCATGTGATTTTAAAATGAATCAATTCGAACAAAAAACTA